AGATGTGTAAATGCATAAGAATTGTGTGCCATGTAAATGTCCCTTCAATATATGTTTGGGCATGGATCAAGGCTACATCAGTCTAATATAGAATTCGGGTTGGATTGTTGATTTTGATTGATGAAGAACTCATCATATCTGAAATAGAACTACCTCATTAAGGTGTTAATCTGACCTAGCTCGTAAGAGAGACGGCTTGATCATGCAAAAACTACTGCTGATTTCAATCTTTGACTTAAATTTTTAGTCCACTTGACCATCAATGCGTCCATACATGCTACATATATGTTATGGGCATTTACTTACGTAGCATGCAATTCTTATGCATTTACGTGTCTCGCACTTCAACTTTCATATTTGCACACTTAGCTCTCAAATCTTTAATAGAACATAAAAATAACACGATTGCCACTTTTTAAAAGTGAAATACATCCTTCCATGCATAGATTTAAAGCAACAGAGTTCTATGTATGTAAATATGAAAGTGTAGATGTGAGATATGTAAATATATAAGAATTATGGGCTACATATGTAAAATTCCCTATATGTTAACTTACACAACATGCTTATCATGCATGCACTTATTGCTAGTGTGGCTTAATCCAAATTGGACTTAATCTATGCTAGTTCTGGCTTACTAGTAACCTCGTCTATGTCGATCTCAACTTCCTTGTATTGTTACTTCACATCTAGTTCCATTCTGGTATATTTTTTATTATAGCGCAGTTGTGCATAACCCTTATTCATTTTAATACCCTCATGTGTTCTTTTTTTTAACTTTTTATTGCTTATTTTTCATATAACTCAATAAATATTTGGGCTGTTTAGTTGCTTGATTTAACTGAAATTTTAGGAAGATTCATGTTTTGTTGTTTTGTCTCTATGTTGGCATCATTTAGACCTCAACAAATTCTCCCTTTTAGGGGCATTTACATACATACCACACAATTCTCATGTAACTACATATCTAACTCCTCAACTCCACTTTTTTATATTTACAACACCCAAGTTTTTCGTGTTACGTCAAAAATACCACAATTTTAACTTTTCCTAAAAAAAATTAAAATGCATCTTTTCATGCATAGAAAATGTGACATATATGTAAAAATTGAAGTTTAGGTATTAGATAAATGAATACATAGGAATTATGTGGTATGCATGTAGATGTTCCTTTTTAATAATATCTCCAAATTATATATCATGAGAACATATGATGTTTGTCCATGTTTTGCTCATATGCTTGTGAATAGTTCCATGTGATTTTATTCTTCAATAGGTAAAAAATGGTGTTTTTGGATATTGAGATGAGAGGGAATGTGATTGTCCCGCCTGATCAACTCGACCCCAAAGGTCTCTTACTTCGCAAAGGTATAATCCTCCGCCTCCTCGAGGACATTGCTGCCAGGAAAGCATCAAAAGAGCACGGCTACTACATCGCAGTCACGGCTTTAAACTCCGTCGCCGAAGGCCGTGTTGATGAGCTCACGGGCAGTGTCAACTTCCCCGTCTCCTATGCCTGCATCGCCCTCAAGCCCTGCAAGGGTGAGATCCTCGTCGGAATCGTCGATAAGGTTCTGAGGCACGGCGTATTTTTGAAATCGGGACCGATCGAGAATATTTTTCTCTCCGAGAAGATGATGGAAGATTACAAGTTTGTCATGGGCGTAGAATCGATGTTTGTGAATGATAAGCAGCAGTCGAAGATGGAGATTGGCTCGAGGGTGAGGTTCAAAGTTCTTGGGATCAAGTGGATGGAATGGGATAGAGGGTTTCAGATGCTTGCCACTCTTGCAGGTGATTTCCTTGGACCTGTCTAAGGTTTCAGATGAGTTGTTTCTTTCTTAGAGTTTTTATTAATTTGCATACACAGCACTCCAAACATTGCTATTTACAAAATTAGCATCCAAATGATTATTTCGAGCTACCAAATCCATGTATTTATGCACGCCACGATCAAACCATTGACAATTTGATAAGGATGAACAGACGGGTTGAGATGTTATGATGAATTTTGATATTTGAAAAGTAAATGAAAGAGGGTGTTAGATTTGTAAATAGCAATGTTTGGAGTGCTATGTATGTATGTATTTTTTTTTAATTTGACAGACAAAAATAAGCAGTAGTTGCTTGCTTATGATTCTCAATATTTACATGAATTTGAGACTTTACTATTAATGTTTTGGAAAATTTACATACATACCACACAATTCTTATGTTTTTACATATCCAACACCCAAACTTTTCATATTTATATTCAACACACTTCGGTGTCATAAACTTATACATGAAGAGGCGCATTTGCGGCATCGAAGATTTGAGAGTTATGTATGTAATTATGTGATTATGAAAGATTAGGTGTTAGATATGTAAATATATAGGAATAGTGTGGTATTTATTTAAATGTGTCTAGATTTTTTATTGAGGCTATTTATCTTTTTCTGGTTGGTTCTATATATTTAATCGAATTTATTAATATTCTCATGTCATTATCTCAAATAATTGAGATAAAATTGATGATTTGTGACTGCTGGAAGGCGTTGATCCTCAGTCTTACTTTTGTGCAGCTTTGATGCATATTAAATATGTTGGTTGTGCATAGAGCTGTCAAAACAGCTCGTGTTCAGTTTGTTAAGAAGCTCATGCCGAACACGAACAACACGAATAAATATGTGTTCGTTCTTCGTGAACAGCTCGTGTCCGGCTTGTTAAGAAGCTAATGTCGAACACGAACAACACGAATAAATATGTGTTCGTTCGTGTTCGGCTCATTTTGGCTCGAAGTACTGCTAATCAATTATATATATATATCTTTGCTGAGTAGTATTTTTAAAAAAATTAATTCACTATAAGGCTACAAAGGTTTATAATCAATTAAAAGTATTAATGAAGAAAATAGAATAAAAATTATTAATTGAAGTTCAAATGATGTTTTAAATCTTGCCTCAATCCTTAACATCTTATGGTTACGTGATTAGGGTTGTCAAAACGATTCTTTGTTCGTGAACGGCTCGTGTTCGGTTCGCTAAGAAAATAAGCCAAACACAAACACACTTTTTGAGCTCGAAATATAAATAAGTCTGGGCTCACTCTTGTTCGGTTCGTTTACATCTCTAGCTGTGCAATATATATAATGCGAATTTGTATTTTTGAGTAGCTCTTTTTGCACATTTTGTGCAATATATATAATGCAAATTTGTATTTTTGAGTAGCTCTTTTTGCACATTTTGTAAAGTCAATGAGGATTGTTTGTAACACTTTTCTACTACTCTGCAAATATTAATAATTTTATTGTTTTTTTTTTATGGACTTGGTCAAGTCATATTCAGAAAATTTTAAATCGTTACATCATGATCATGATTCTAAAAAAATTAGGGGTGTTTATGTAATTATCACCCATTCTTTTGTTAGGCCTGACTTTGTTCAAGGCCTTCTTCTGAATATATATTAATAACCGAACTGCTCTATGAGCTGTTGAGCACAATAACATTACAATTTGAATTAGGAGTCATTATAATGGCAGAGCTCAATTATTTCATCCTAATGTGGTCAAATAAGTGTTAATGTGTTCGTTAACCGCATAATTTGACTATTTAGATTTGCATAAAAGTGTAGTACACATAATTATACGTTCAAAGCAGCACGCAAAAGGAGATTTTTTATGTGGAAAGGTTTTAAAGGAAAGAAATTTATGAGGTTTTAATTGTCATAGTTGTGTTAGTGAAATGAAAGTCAATGGCTAGAAATGTATTACTTCACCTGTTTTGGGAAGCTGTAAGTACAATGTGGTAAGCTTGAATTGTGGGACTTTGAGATCGTAGGAGCTCTTTGCAGCAGAGCAGCATCGGTGAGATGAATTTTGGTGACGATAAATGATGATAGGACTGAGGCATCAACTCCAAACATGGGAAGGTCATGGCAGAGAGTCTTTTAAGATATCACGGTCGATATCTTACCACCATGGCCACCACAGCGAACCATAGATTTTTCTAGGAGGATTCAACAATACATGTGAGGTGTGCGGACTCAGCTCAATTCATTAGTGGATTACCTTAGCGAATCAATATGGTTGTATGCTCGCAAGTGGAGGAAAATCCTTAAGTGCCTTGGGGGATGGTGCATTAACCTATGGGATCCAAGTGTTTTTCAAAAAGCAGTTGAGAAGCCTTCAACCCCAGGAGGTTACAACAACTCCATGAATGCGGTCAAAGCTCCCCAACTCCAGGAGATTGATGTGGGGGCTTCTGGGGCCTGAACATGACCTTGGTTTATTAAGGTGTTTGGTCGGCCCTAATTTTGGCGGGGAGCTTGCTGCCACTCAAGGGAGGACCCTCCTGGTTATCTTTTTATTATAATTAGGATGTTTATTATTTTTAGGATTAGTATTTATTGTGTTTTCTGTCAGAGTAGTCATCAATTTCCAATTATTTTCTTTGAGGGTTGTGTCTGAAAGCGAGAACGTGCTCCGATTATAACTCGTCCTAAGGTGGTGTTTATCCACTTCTCCCCCACTTCCTCAATTTTATCTTAGACACCGGTTTGCTGTTGTCTCGGTCGACCACTTTTTGTTGCGGTCCAACCAGATATTCCCTTCCCTGCTTCCCATTAATGCCTCTTGTCATCCATTCTGCACCCTCTGACAATTGTTGTTGGTTTTCCTACAATCCCTAACCCACTACTCACCTGTCTCGTTCCATCAGCCCTCTTCTAACCCTCCCTCGCCTCCACCCTTTACAGTTGCTTGCTGACGACCACCCTCCCTATATCCACATGAACCGGACACCACCCTCTCTACCGTCTCCTAGTCGCAACCACCCCTTTCTCTAACCCACTTGCACACCACCACCCTCTCCCCTTTATAACCCATCCAAACCCTCCAAACCCTCCACATATTTTTGCAACCTCCCAATCGGCCATCCCCATCTGTTATTCAACCGCAACTCACCGATTTCGTCCCCACCTTGAGTGTTGTTTATATTTTGTACTATTTTATTCCCTTTTTTGAGAACCTTTATTGTAATCTTTTTGAGTTATCAATAATAATCTTTATGCTCCATTATAATTTTTTTTAACTACGACATCACCCTCCACTCCCTTATGAACAAAAAATCCCCTCTGAAATCAAGTTCTTAGATAATAAGAATTCATGATAATGAGTGACACTTTCAAGGCTTATGAATTCTTAGCATCAAAAGGTTAGGGTGATTTTTCCTTTTGCTTTAGGAGCCATTCAGAAGAAAAAAAATATAAGAAATCAGAAAGATTAAGAAGGATGAGAAATATCCAAATCAATGAAAGAAATATCTCTTGAATTTTAAAAAAAAAACACTTAATCCCCTTAATTTACTAAAAACAAGCAATACGAGCAAGAAAATCACAAGAAAGTATTGCTTCTTACTGATAAGGAGGAGAAAAGTATTGGAGGGACAGAAGAATCCTTGCCTTGGTTAGAGAACGTGAAATCAAATTTAAGTTTTTTATGCAATGAAATGGATGTGTTTTAATATCATCATATTAGTGTTTTTATAGATAAAAAGTGGTGATATGTAGGCGTAAAAAGACGTGGGTATGAAATGACCAGGTAAGTAGTGTGAAAGAAGGTTGGCAAAAAATGAGCATGTAGGTGGTGTCAAATAAGAAGTCTCTCAGGAGCCAACACAGATGGAGCCATAGTTCCCTGCTCACGGATGGAGCAACGCAAGTGTGGCGTACACATACCACTTTGACATACACATGCCATATTGGTGTATTAATGCCAAAGGATGGTGCTTTTGCCTCAAGTTGAGGGGCGCCTATGCGCCCTATATGGTGGTGGCGCCTATGCACCCTAAAGGGTGGCATCGCTTATGCACCCAACAATATGGTGCCTATGCGCCCAAATGAAGGTGATACCCAAGAAATGGCCCCTATGCACTGATATCTCTATTGGATCATGGAATGAAGGAGTGTGACACAAGCTTCTACAATGCTGATGAAGAATTCACACACATAAATTTGGAAGAGTACATGATAGGTGTTAGTGGTGGGAGCACAGAAGCTCAAAATGACTAATGTAACTTGAACGCATAACAAACACACAAAAGATCATGCTTTGGTTGCCTCCAAAGTAGCTCTTTGTTTTATGTCAGCAGTCTGAAAAATGTCATATCTTAGTCTTTAGGCTGACCTAAACGATGTCTCTCTAATATCAACCTTATCACCTCCTCAGTCACTGACCATTAACCTTAAACACACGAACATATTTTCTATACTCGATATCCAGAGCTCCAAATGAGCAAACCTTTATTGCAGTAAACGGATCAGACCACCTAGATTTAAGTTTTTCTTGAAATAATCTTAATTTTGAATTATCTTATTTTGGGTTTAATTTTTTTTAGTAAGCTTCAGATTATGCCATTTCTTCATTTATTCTTTATTAATCCTAGCATTCTCATAAGCTTCATATCTAATATTCTCTAATTCCTCAACCATAGTAGCATTTTTTCTTCTAAATCCTTAATATTATAACTGAATTCTTTTACCACCCACTAGATCTTATGCTCTAACTACACTGGCAAGTGACATAATTTTATAAAAATCAACTTTCTAAGGGTGTCTTTGAAGCTCTCTTATAGGCCCATAAAACATTATATAGCTTAAGATAGCAATCCTTACTACTTAGATTAACAATTTTTTTTTTCTAAAATTCTTTTGATATCCCTATTATATACCTCTACTAATTTATTAGTTTGAGAATAAGAATCAGTAGAAATCTTGTGTGTAATTCCAAATTTTGTCACTAGTGCTTTAATTCTTTTATTGCAAAAATAACTTCTCTATCACTAATTATAACTCTAAGTGTTCCAAACTACTAAAAATATTTCTTTTTTAAAAACTCAGAACACACTTTGAATCACGTTTAAATAAAGAAATTGCTTCAATTCATTTTGAGACATAATCTACTGCTACAAGGATATAGATCTTTCCTAAAGAAGGTAGGAAACGCATAGTCTACTGTTACAAGGATATAGATCTTTCCTAAAGAAGGTAGGAATGATCCCATAAAATTTATTCCTCAAACATTAAATATCTCCATCTCCAAAATCTAAATTAAGAGAATCTCATTTCTTTTAGAAATATTTCATCCTCTCTGGCCTCAATCACATCTTTTAATATAATCACTAACATCCTTAGAAAGA